TAACTCTGAATGACTTTACTATTTTATTGCTTGATAAAGCAGAATGATTCAAATAGGTTGTTTGGGTTTCAGTCCCATTCCAAAATGAAAAATACTGCCTTTAGCAAAACTGAGCTCTGTTTCTTTTTTTAATACAGAGGGTTGTGATTTATTTAAAATACCAATTGATTTGTTCTGTCAGAAGTTGAAGAATAGTTGACTAATAAATTTTTCTATTTCATAAACATACCTTAAATGACAGTCCCACTTAACACCCTATAAGAAATATATTAAATGTATTTTTAAAATAAACAAGACAGAAATTAGGATGGAAGAAAGCTGCATTTTTGCTCTTCAAAACAGACTGCCTGGAGAGAAGAGTTATGGTGTGAGATTGTCTCACTAAGAATGACAAACTTGGTCTTCTCATGCTCTACTGGGGACCCCTGATGAGATCTTGTAAATAAACGTGTAATGACAAGAAGTCTTACTGAGCTCGTATGACTCTTTCTTCTTTATTATAAGTGTTTTTGGTTGTTGAAACTTCCAGCTAACGTTAGGTCTCCAGTGCTGTTACCCACAGTTAAAGCTCTCATGTAATTAGGATCATTTAAAAATAACTTCTTCATGCCTGACCTGTTCTGTCTGTGACAGGGTTCAGAAACTGCTGATTACTTTGTGGTTGGGTTTGGGTTTATGATTTGGCTATTATGCGGGCTATATTAATGTGGGTGGAAAACATTTAGAGGGATTCATCTGTTCTAGGTAAACAATACTGGATTTTTGTTACTGCATTAGAACAAGCTATGTTACAAAGAACCTACAAATTGGTCAGTCATTTGTTCACTGACAGTTGCTAGAAAGAGGTGGGCTTTTGGCTTTTTTGTTTTTAAAGGAATAATTAATCTTCAACATGAAGAGCAGGTAATACTTATTTTCCAGGCAATTCTGATAAAGAGGAGAGCAAACATTAAATTTAAAATGTCACTGTACTGACTTGAGACGTGTGTGAAATTCCTGTTATGAGCCAGTCTTGCTGATCACACTTTGCAGCTGGATGCTGGCATAACTGGTTTCTTCATGGAGATCTGAGATGTATGAAGATCTCTGAAGAGTCAGTGCTTCAAACAGGTTTTAAAATGCATAAAAGTTGATCCCCAAGTGCATGGTAAGAGCGTTGAGTAGTCTTTAACTTCATTTTATGGTATCATCCTGAGTACATGAGATGAAATGTATACTGCACAAATTCAAATATTAACTTTAAGATGTGATCAAAGCTGCAAGACATTATTATTTTATTATTATTGCTTTAGAATAACCTACCACAAACATCTATTTAATTTACAGCATTATTGATTGCTTAACAAAAGATTTTATTTATCTTATTTCTTTAGTAACCATTAGTTTTGTGGTGAAATTTTCCTGCATATTTTACTGCCTTTTTGATTATATAAGCAATGATTAATAAATAAATGTTTAACTACACTGGAGCTAATGCAGTGTTAGCACATGAATTATAATGTATTGCTTGAAAAAATTAATACATAGCTCTAGTGTGTTCTGGGCATCAGTTTGAAATTGGATGCTGCAAGACCTGTTGTAGCCACTTCCTCAAAATTTCAGCAGATAGGAAGCATTATTTGCATTTTCAACTCAGTACTGGAGCATAAGTTTGGAAATAAAGTTCCTGTAAATCTAATGTGTCTGTCTGTGCCTTCTCAGAGCTAACCCTGGAGAAGAACAGGGGGAAAAAACACCAACTCAACACCATAGTACTCGCTCAAGGGAAATTGGACCTCAGACCCTTCTTTGAAAGTCCATGCACAATTGTGCCTGTGTCTTAAGACCACCCTTTATCTGCAGTTATTTTGGAGCTTACATTAAGATAAGACAAATGGGCATCATATAAAACCCAGTACTCACAGTGGATCAACAGCAGATGCTTAGACAAGAATGTGTGAGAAGTGCTGCTGGAGTGCTTGCCGAAAATTCTGCCTTTTGCTGGTTTCATTGTCTAGGAGCCCCTGAGTTAGAAGTTGCATCTTTGAATATGGACTTGTCTTTTTATACTTTTCCTGAAGGTCTCCTGTTCTTAGAACAAGATGTTCTGTATTTACGCTTCCTCTGTCATTGTTATCTTGAGTAGGTCTGCCCTCTCCTGCTGTCATCTGCCTTTTTCTTACCTTTACGTAGGTGTTCCTCATGCAGAATCTGTGCTGGATCTGTCCCGCATTGACATTTTCTGTATCTCTAGACCTGCTGTGTAGGTAAATGAAAACAAACGAGAAGTGCACACAGAATTGACTTGATATAGGATGTGTGACAGGATGACTCTGTGATAAATTTTTCACTTTTTTTCTGTATGTCTCTCCTAATAGTCTTTATCATTCAGTTTTATTTTCTTGTCAACTCAGTGCCAAGAAGCTGTTACTGTCATAAGCAGCTCTGTTATAACCCAAAGTTCATGTCCTAGAGTGCTAGTAGTCAGCTCCAGGTCTGTTGCTATATGTCTAAATTTAGGATCCCTTGTCTGATTTTTAGAAAGAGGTGAAAATCTCTGCTTTGTTCAGAAGGAAATAAGAAGTATTGCTATGAGAACAGGGACTGAGTGTTAAGGAGGTATCGCTGCTTTGCCATAAGAAAGGACTGGGTAGTTAGGTTAAGGACATCTGGTCATTACATATTTCTTCTTCCCCATCTGTCTTACTTCTTAAGTTTTAAAGAAAAGTGGTATTTGGAAATAGAGTAATTGCTAAAGAATAGACCATATGAAGTAATGGAATAAAAGAACAACAGTAATAAACTTGGGATTTTGTATTTGTGATATTTTCCCTTGGTAAATGCTCATTTGTTACTTTTTTTCTGTTCTAATTAGCCATGTATTCTTCAAACAGAACTTTTGCAACTGCACGTTATTCAACCATTTCACAGTTGTCTGGAGTATGCAGTAAGACTCAGAGTGCTGTGGCACAGGAAGTAGGAAACTTTATCTAAATTGCACCAGAATTAATTGGCTACTGAGAATATGTTTTGACCTTGGCCAGCGCTTTCTGGCTTGGTGCTGTTCTGCACATAGGTTCTGCACTTTGTCAACGCAAGCAATCAAGATTTGTAAGAGTTGTGCTTGGTGTGGCCCCTTTTCTTGCTTTCTTCATTAGTAGAGTACGTGCTTTCCTCCTGTGTGATTGTTCCTACAACCCTGAAAGCTCTGAAAAAGTGACACACTCAGGTTTTAGCTGAAACGTCTCTAGGGCCTACCTACGATTTGGCTGTTTTCTCTGATGGTCAGCTGGTGACCACGCTAGTACCTTTCCTATAAAGCATATGTTTCTGAGCTTGGATCACTTGGGAAATAATGAGGAAATAATACCACTCAATTATAATACTACTTTTATTTTTTTGTCTGGTCTAATAACTTCCTCATATATGCTTGTTGAATAGCAGTCAGAATACGTGATTTCTTGCATAGCTTCCCTATTTTGTTAAAACTAAGATCATGACCACTCCCTTCCATCTTAGCTGCCATCTCGCACAAGGGAGTATAAACAACTAATTTTAAACATGACTCATTTTGATGATTGGACAAGTGTGCTAGATTATTATTTTGAAGAGAAAATTGCTGTGACATCCCTAAACCAAACTTAAATAGGGAGTAGCCTGGATGGTTGGTTTAAATCTTCTAAGTATGCAGCAATCTATACTTGTCCATCATACCCAGTCTACTTGTAAGGGGAGGACAGGTGAGGTGAGGGATCATTACTGAAAAAGGAAGAAATCTGTTATTTACTGCTAATTAAAACAAAGCACATCAAAGAAATTGAAAGTGGGTTTGAAACAGAAATCTCTTATGATAGGAGAAGGATGGGTTATACTGTAAACTACTTTCAGGCTTCAGCAGATATTAATAGCTAGCTTCTGCTTGATACACTTTTAAAATGCTTCTTTGTAATATTAGGGTACTATAAAAACTGGCTCTGGAGCCATGTGGTGAAAAGTGTATTGGTTGGCCAAGTCAAAGGTTGAAGTATATCTCTGCTCTTGAAAACTTGGTTTTAGTTCTATCAGTTTATAAGTGCAAAATCAGTAGATATTTTCATTCTACAGCTTTATATATTTATATTAGATGTGTGCACACATTTGTGATTAAGAAACAGTTGACTACTGAGATGATACTATTGAGCATGTATTTTTCTTTCTTAAGGCAGAAATCCGTTCTAGTAAGGTATACCAAGAGTTTTGACGTATAGAAACTGCAGTAGGAATTGTGGCTAGGCACAACTAGCATTTATCTTGACTTTGTTCAGCAGTACATTATGTAAAGCAAGGTAGAAGTGGATCCTTAGTAGCAAAAGAGGGAAAATAATCCTTTTAAATACTTCGAAGTGCCAAAACTTAACGGCAAGATTTCTTTTCAGCAAGATGTGGAGCATGGAAATGCATCTGTCCCTAGGGATCAGCAGATGAGTTTATCTGTGATTTCTTGACTAGTTGATTTGATTCAGTAGTCCCTAGAAGCTAATTCATTGGAACTGCGTAGATCAGACAGACATCAGTGAACGCTTGAATTCCTTTTCCAATGTATCCAAAGAAATCTGTATTCTGGACTAAGCTTTCTTTTGGCATTTTTGCATGTAGTATCATCCATGGTATTTCCCATGAACATGAGTGCTACTAGGAAACCTTTCAGTCTTTCATTTCTGAAATGTGTCATGTTAATACTCATGCAGAGAGACCTGAAAGCAAAGCTTCCCAGGGATGTGAATTTCACAGAACAAACTGAACAGAATCAGTATGCTGAGAATATTGTTAGTTTCTCAAGTACCCAAGGGTTCTTTCCTTCTTCAAAACCTGGACTTTTGTCTGTGACTAGAGAAAGGGGACCTTGTTTTTGTTACATGCAGGTAAAGTAATCTCTTGGTGTGTTACGTAACTTCTTTTAACTGGAAGATGGGGATTTTGCCATGGATATAATGAGACACTTTATATCTAATGTGCAGTTTCTTTGTTGTTGTTTTGTTCAGTGGGAGACTTTGATAAGATCTGGCGTGAGCACTGTGAGGATGAGGAAACTCTGTGTGAATATGCTGTGGCAATGAAAAACCTTGCAGATAATCACTGGGCAAAAACTTGTGAAGGAGAAGGCCGAATTGAATGGTGTTGCAGGTAAATCTTAATGTATTTGAAAGATGCAATTGCACACTTCTGCTTTATTTATAATACAATTGTTGAGCAGTTCTTGCTTTTTTGCTAACTTTTTAGATTTGTTCTACAAGATGTTAATAATTCATTGCTTCCCAAAACAAATACCTTCTTACTATTCTGATCTGCTAAGGAAATAGCTTGTGAAGTGTTTTGTTATGAGGTGACCCTTTTTTTAAAGTATCTTCAACAACCAAATTTTTCCTCTCCTCAAATACTGAAACTGTAGCAAGTAAAACTATGAAGTAGTTTTCCATACATTTGAACCTAAACTGAGCAAATGCAGCAAGGGTAGCTCAAGGTTAATTTTCAAGTCTTTGGTTTGATTTGTGCATATAATAGTGTTTGAACTCTACATGTGAATCTCTGATGCTTAATTTTCAAGTTTTAATCTCCTGCAACAGACTTTAACCTCAGTGAAACTTGCTTTAAATCAATTTTAAAATTCCTGTAAGTCATAAGCATCTAATTGGTATTGGGTTATGATAATTGTAAAGACCATAAGGGGGTTAGGCTAAACTATTTCAATCCTTGAGGAAAACAAACTCCTGAAAACGGAGAAATGTTGGTCACTCAGGATTCCTACCTACAGCTGGCACCCAAGGTATACCATGGAATTAGCACAACTAGATAAAACAAGTTATTGTTGATCTCTAACTGGGAAGAGAATTTATCAACAGTCCTGCCTCTGAGAGTGACTTTAGACAAACAAAAAGTAGTCTCGTATGCCAGTCTGTAGGTCCTGCAGGTGAGTGTTGCAGTGCTGAGCAAGAGGCAGCAAACAGCAGATGTGGTATTGTTAAATTAATTACATTGGTCCTTTAAGCCCCTAAAACTGAAAAAAAAAATTATCCAGAAGGGGAGAATGGCTCTGAAACAGTTGATCTAGAGTACATCTTGGTGTCAACTTGAGCTGTTGTGTGGTTTCTGGAAATGGAGCAAGTAATAACAAGCTCATTTTGTTTTTCCATACCATCAGCTTGTAAATATCTGAAAACCATTCCTTTATGTATCAATCGTTTATCCTTTAGCTTAACCAAAAAACCCAAAAAGACAACCCACCACCACCAATAAAACCCCATAGTTCAGTGTTTCTTTATAGACTTTTCTGGACATGTATTTTGTATCCTTATCCAAGTTATAAGAGAGGTGAATCATCTTGTAAAGAACTACGCCCAAAAAAATAAACACAGCTTTCCAGTGGCCTTGTCAGGGATAAATAAAGAATTATGATTGAGGTAAACTCTTGTTTATGTTGTTGACCTTGTTTAAGTTTTCTGTGTTTTGGGGGGTTTTATTATGTTTTTGTGTTTGTATTTTTAATTGGTGTGGCATTGATTTATGCTCATTTGTGATTCCCCAGCAACTCTTTCTTTTTTACAGCCTTCCTCAGTTACTGGTTGTTTTCTTCACTTGTGCTATTTATTACTTCTGTGGAAATGCTGATATTTGTGTTCTCTTTACTGAATTACACTCTTGAATCATACTGAATTCTAATACTGAGATTTCTTGCAGCAGCGCAGTCTCTATCCCAGCCTGGCATTGTTCTCAGATTGGTTAAGAGAAGTACTGACTGTTCCAATGTTCAGGTTATCCGTGAAACAAACTGATTGTACTGGATCCAGTGCAGATTCCTATGAAACTTTGCTCAGTATTTTCTTGCAGTCTGATTGTCAACTAATATGTGAAACTTTTTTCAGTAGAAGTGTCTGCACTTACTCTTATTTCAGCCAAACAATATTCCCTTAGCTTGTAGCAAGCTTGTCTGGTACCTGGTAGGGCAGGATCATGTTCCTTGTGGACAGGGGGGGAACAGTTGATGGCCTGTATATTGAAGGGTTTTGTCTCTGTCTCACTTTATTTCTGTTTGTAGTTCCTACAAGATTTACAAAGTAAACATTTAAATAAGTGTTTGAGTCTTGCAGAATGAAGTCACATTAAGAAGAGAATCAACCCGGGAAGAGACACTAAAATTTTCTCAGCATAAAGCTTTGGTTGAAGCGTTTTCAGTTTGCAAAGTTAAGGTGTCAGGAGTTCTACATCAGTAGAAAGAAGGGTACTTTTCACTTCTGTGTGTTTCAGATTAAACCGAGGCCTGGATGGTTGGGGACCAGTGCATACCAGATTGACTTGATTCTGCAATTTTTTGTTCTTTCTCAAAGGGCCAAGGGGTGTGCCACACACACGGCAGGTCCCATTGTTGTTACTTCTCCTTGTGTCCGGGTGCATAACTGCATGCGAGAGAACTTGCATGAGCTTTTGTTCAGTGTTTTAGTTATGTCACCATGACAGCAGGAAGGTAGACGATGCTCTAGATGAAGTATAAATTGAGAGTGGAATGCTAAAAATACTTTGGAACCACAAGTGTGTTCCTGCTGAAGAAAAGATAGTAGAGCTTTTTTGTTCTAATGTGAAGGAAGATATTTTCGGAGACCTGAAACTCACAAGTGTTTTCACTAGCTGGAGAAAAACACTTTCCTTCATTTTCTTTGTATTATCTGATAAACTAGCACTTGACAGAGTAAATTGGAGAATGCAGAATAACCACTAGAGAAGCTGTGAGTACTTCTCAGGATCAAGAATAACAAATTTCTTGCAGGGTTCTCCTTTCTGAAGTCTTTCTAACTATTTAGCTGAAAACACTGTGAAAAATGCTTTTTCTAACAATAATTCTTCAACCAGATGGCATAAGAAGTATTATTTTACCTTGTTAGTTTTGACTTAAGCAGTTATCAAGGCTTTAGAAACTGTGAAAATAGAAAGCAGTACATGAAAGATTGTGCTAATGACCATATGCTGTGTTCTGTAGGGCCAATTTTATTTATTGTTTAAGGGCAACATTATACAACAGTTAATTAGGGAGAGGGGCAGGGGGAAGAGAGATTAAAAGTTTATCTCTTTCCAGGTGCAGGTTGATGATCCCCTGAGTGGTGGTGTAAAAAGCCAACACTCAACTGTCCCTCCCTTGCTTTCTTCTTCTGTCTTTGGAAAACCAAATACAGAGTAGCAAATGGTACTTGGAAATTAACAATTCTGTTTCTGTTTAATTTATATTACAACACAAAACTTAAACCAAAATAGGCTAAAATGATGTTTACCCTGAATAATTGTCCTAACTCTTAATTTTTGCTGGCAAAGTTGGGGCTGTGACCTTTTGTGTGGACAGTGAATGTCAGCCTGTTCTGGTTCTAGTTAGAACAAAATAAGCTAGACCAGCAGGTTTGCTTCTTTCTGTTGCCTTTGCATCAGTGTCAAGACTTGTGTTGACTTGGCTTTTTTTTTTTTTTAAATAACAAAACCCCCAAATCTGCACTTCTGACTATCATGACAAAATGCTATTTAGACCTGCTTTTTAAGTCTTTTGTTTCATAAGCAAACAGAAGAAATATGGTTGTGATGAAATTAATGTTGGGTGAGTTCAGAACAGTTTGGAAAAACTTGTAGAGAATAGGTGTTAGAAGCTTATCTTAAAAATGTGATTTACTGGGAAGGGCTCTGTCAGTGTCTGTCCCTGCATCCATTTCTAATGAGTATTTTCATTAGCAGTCTGCTAGAATGAAGTCTGTTTATTAAATTTGCAAATGAGACCAAATGGAAAAGAATTCACACTCTGAGAGCAGGATTGAAATCAACAGTGTTGTCAACTATACTAAATATTATCAACTGTACAAATACAGGCCAGGGAGTAATTGGTTGTGTCAGTCTTTTAGAAAAGCATTTGGATTGTGTAGCAGGCTACAAGCTGAATAGGAAACAGTTATGAGATGCTTTTGCAGTAAGGCAAATATTATACTGGAGGGTGTTAATGAGGTTGTTCTCAAGATACATAAAGTACTCTGACTGTTTAGCATTGCTGTTAGCCAGAATATCACCTTGGCCACTGTATTTAAAAATAACAAACTGTGCAACTCCAAGAAAGATAAAGCAATGATCAGAAGTCTTTCTTTTTCTTTTTTTTTTTTTTTTTTTCCCCCCACAAAAGCCTGTGGGGTTTTTTTTTTCTAGAAATTGGAGCTTTCTTGTCAAAAGAAGAGAAGGCTGAGTAATCTCTTACAGGATCGAGTAACAGGTCACTGCTGGAACTGGAAACTGATCCTGTTTGGGTTTGGAAGATTGAATGAATAAATGAATATTTGAAGTCACCTTAACACTGTTCTGCAGCTTTCTTGATGAATACAGTTAGTCAAGTGATTCACTTTCAGGGGAATAGAATTAAGAGGGAGTTAGTGTAAACAGGAGGAGGGAAACCATTTAAAATGGAGAAAAAGACTTCATGTTCATTGTTCATGTTTGTTTTACAGTCTTCGTTTTTGCTCTTAAACATTACTTTATTCTGACAAAGCTATATCTGTTTCTTCAACACTAGAACTAATTAGAGCAGTGATCATATGATAACTGCTGGCTCTTTTGAGTTCTTGAAATCCTCCAGTAATGAAGGATGTTGACTCCAGAAGTGGGCTTGGGGTGGACATAACAGAAAAGAAACATCGGATTACAGATCTAATTTTGTTTCTCAAAAGGAAAACGCCTTAAAACTGAGACTAAGTATGAAAAATAAAATGCGAAAAATATATTGTATAGAAAATACAATTATGATGATAAAAATGACAATACTTTCAGAGACCTAGTGCTTTCACCTATGCTGAATACAGGATTTCCTTAACCTGAAGCTGGGTGCACATGACAATCCAGAGGAAAGCTATATGTACAAGGGCATTTGGTAATCCTCCCTTCCTTGATTTTCTTTGGAAGTTGGGGAGGTTTGGAGGTGGGGGGGAAATAGGGCACTAAACTTGTAGAAGAGTTTACACCACTTCTTTCAGACCAGCAGCCCTCTCTATTGACATTAATAAACTTATTCCTCTGAGCGTGGGAGGATGAAAGTTTCTGTAGATGGAAACCATGAGAAGTCCAGACTTTCCTTCAGCTTTGAAGGAGAGTATGTTATTCTCTGTACCCTCACTGAGTATCATCTTCAGTGTTAGCTTTTGGTTAGTAAATACTGTAAGGAACAGAAGTCAAGCTCACCTTTTCCTCATTATAAAGCAGAAGGAAAGAGATAGACTGTGTCAGTTCTTAGCATGCTTGAAATCCTTGAGCATTGATTACAGCTATCAGGAGCTGCTTTTTGCCATGATAAAAGCTGACCACACCAGCTTTAATTTAGTTGTTCTCATCAAGTAATAATGAACAACTAAACTACTGATTCTTTCATGGCTTCTGAATTTCATATGGCAGTTCCCCCCTCACTATTATTTTTTGCTAATATATGGTCTATTGAAACCCCTGGTTTTGGTGACTATTCAAAACCAAATCTTCTCTTTCATTGCTGGGGAGTATTAACAAATTAAAATGTTGGCTTTTACTGAAACTTCTGTACATGTGCAGCCCAAATGGTGGAGCAGGGGGGGTCAGCTTGAACGGGTTGTTTACCATTTGAGGTTTGGAGTATGGAAAACAAGTTTCACTGAGGAAATACCTAGATAATTTTATTATATTCTTAAAGACAAGACACAAAGTGGACACTCCAGCTGTCTGCCAGCAGACTTCAATGGTTTAGACCTGAAATGTTTATTTTGTGGGGTTTTGTAAACTGTAGTAAGGGTTAGCTCAGGTAGCATTTACATTGCACAATTCTTCACAAACAAGTATGTTAATTGTAGAGTGAATGTTGTGTCATCAAAGACTGAGCACTTAAATGTCAGTTAAAAATGGAGGCTGTAGTTCTCCGTATTATAAAATAGCCTTCTTAATTTTATTTTTCTTTGTAGATGATTAACAGATGCTCTGTTCATTACTTGAGACAGTTGTTAAATGTAGAGTCTTATATGACTGCATGCTCAAAACCACAGTGTGATCAGTGATGGCTTTTAATGGTTGTGAAGTTAAATATGTGGCTACATCAACAAGTTCCCATGGGGTGAACTATGGAGTATATTACATCTGGTTAGATACTGTGCAATGACTGCCCACGTGCTCACTTGTGATGTCATGTAGGTGTAAGGTCTGCTTCCACGAGGGGAGTTCACAGACAGCTCCTCTGAGGCCTCGGGAGCCAAATGGGCGACATGTAGTAATCCTGCCAGAATCATCCTTACTTCAGAAAGATGTGAAATGGAGATAACCCTCAGTAGTTATGAAGTGGTGTTGGCCTGAGTTTTTTTTTGTTTGAATGGGTGGATTTGGTATTTTTTTGTTTCCTTGTGGTACTGCACAGGTATGCAGACTGGGATCTGAATGTGAAGAATTTTATCCGGTCTTAGGCCTTCCTGTAACTCTGGCCCCTCTCTCCACCAACGAAAACACAGGAGTAGAAGATGCTCCTCTTCATGGTTGGCTTTGAAAATGTCTAATGTGCAGACAAGGAAGGTCAGTAAAAAATACAGAATTACAAGAACTCAGTGAACATGATAGACAAGGGTAGAAGGATGGAGAAAATACTGATTTACACCATTAACAACGAGGAAGAAATGTCTCCTCAGTGACAAGAGGAACTTGTACTATACAAGTAGGTGGTTCTCCTGTGCAACAGCACACTAAATGTTAAGCTGGGCAACGTACCAGCTTCTAGTGAGTTAAGTCTGGTAACATCAACAGTTAAGGAGAAAAAACATTCTCCAGAGGTTGTGACCTTTTTAATGTGTTCTGACTTACACAGCAGGTTCAATGCCAGTACAACACTATTTAAACTGCCATTGATTCTGAATATTTTAAGAGATGTAATGAGAAAAAAGGCTTAGCATAAAAATAAAGAGACTGCAAGATGCTAGCAAAGTATTGAAAGTAGCTGATAAAGAGTGAGGAAAAATATTTTTTTTTTCCCTGAGTTTCATTTCTTTGACTAAATGACACGCAGAACTAGAGAGTTCTAAATTTATCATCAGCTTATAAACAAATAATAGAACATAGTGTAAAGTACACTTCTGTTAGCATGCCAGCAATAATTCAAAGGTTTTTTAAGGGTTCTCTTTTGTTTACTGATGTTCTTAATCTCTTTCCCGCTAAGTTAAGTGTCTGGCTCCTTTTGTTTAACTTTGTTAATTTTAGACTTGCCTTTCCATAGGTGCAATCTCTAATGGATGGAGTTTCACAGTCTATGTATTGCAGTCTGGACTGTTATTCATGCTTCTGCATGTGGTCTTGCTCTGTACTGCTAAGATGTGGATTTTATTTCTTTATTACACCCAGCTTCTCTTTGGTTTGAAAACAGCTTTAGTTACTAAGAAATTTCAACTATAAACTTGTTGATTATAAATAAAATGTTTACTGAGTTTATTTCTCATATAGCTGTGTTCTCTGCTTAAGGTTACTGTCTGCATTTTAGGCTTTTTATATAGTGCAAGAATGCCTGGGGCCAGCTTGAGCAAGTAAAACTTGCTTGTGCTTTGTGTTTTAGACACAGATCAGTTTTGAACTTCAGGTGCTATAAGCATGTCAGCACAGATATGCACGCAGAATAAGAATTCCCCCCTGCTATGGCAAGAATTGGTAACCTGGACATAATGTGGTACTGTAATTATACATTTGCTTACTCAAGGGGGTAATTTCCTCCCATCTTGGTGTAAAGTGACTTGTATCTGAACCTGTTTGATTGTGTATGTTTACCTTTAAGAAACTCCAGTGATTTTTTTTAATTCATTTTTTATTTTTTCCCCCCTTCACATCTTAAATGGTGGAGAGACTGAATATATTTGGGGCTTAAAATATCACCAGCCCTTAGATAAGGCCTGTTTATTCCAAGTCCTTGTCTCTATTTGTGATTTAAATGCAGCATTATACCAACATGTCCTTTCCTGAATCTCTGATGTGAAACACTATGTTATCTCGATACTGCTTTATATAAGGTGTTACTAAACTACACTTGAATTTATGTTTCCTTCAAAACTCTGCAGCTTTATTAGAGGAAAATTGAATAAATTTCAAGAAAGCATCCTAAAAATGGGTTGTTAAAGAACATCATTCAAACAAGTACTATTTTTGTTAAACTCGCTGTGCAAATACTTAGCTGGCACATCTAATTAAAAATACTGCTTTATGCAGGGTGAGTCAGGCTTTTTAATTTCACAGCAACAAATTGTTTCCAATTCCATTTCTATTTTGTGGACAAAATTCAGTTATTCTCAAACATAATGCTTGCTTCTCATACACTAATGCTGACTCTTTGTTGAAGTATGCAGGTGTGGTTTAACTTTCTGTAACATTCGTTCCTGAAAACTAGTTAACATTTCTGTTCAAGTCTAACCAGATTATTTTGTTTGGGTTCCTATTAGGAAAATAATTGAGTGTGGAGGGCGGGAGGTTGGGAATTGAAAACTAAAGTAAGTCTTCCACAAAAATACATCTGTGGATGCATGTTACTTAAACAAAAAACACCCCAGGCAAACTTAATAAAAACTAAAAACTGGTGTGTGTGAATTAGCCCATAAGCCTGGATTATGTTTCCTTCCCCCCACATTTCATGCCTTGCAAGACATGGATGTTTCAAAGCCCTGTGTTAGAGGAGCTACTTAATAACTCTGCACCTCAGTAGAAAACTGGTGCTCAGGTGACAGCTGAAGTTTACCTTCTGGTGATGTTCTGACAAGACTTAACGCTGTCTTACTCTAAAAATCTATCCAGATAAAACTATTTTGAATCAACTGTAACTTATGGCCTAATTTTTGGAAATAAAACACCACTTGACTTCAGGTGTGTCTTTTGTTGTATCGCATCTGTTCTAAAGCTGATTTAGCAAAGTTGCAGTAATACCCAGATTTGTTTAGAAGCTGACAGTGCTTGTATATCTTAATCCTCTGTGTTGTGTCTTATCTATAGTAATGACCAAAAAATTGCATTCTGTTTTTCTGGGGAATTGTTCTTTTTGTCTTTTCAGTGTATGCAGAGAATATTTTCAGAATGGTGGGAAAAGAAAAGCACTTGAGAAAGATGAAAAAAGAGCACTTCTTGCTTCTAAGACCACTCCAGCTTCAAGTGTCCCCCAGGCTCCCAAGATCGAAGACCCCTTGCCAGACTCTGGCTTGACAAATCATGAAGCTGTAACAGAAGAGTAAGTTTTACTTGTTTTCAGAATGATTTTCTCTCTGTTTGTGTGATGCTACTTACCTGGACATTTTTTTCCCTGTAACATATTAGGTGAGTCTGTATTTTTAATGGTTAAGAAAGGGCATTTTCATGTGAATATATAAATTTTACAAAAAAAATATTTATGTTGTAGTATATTTTGGTAGATGCCATAAAAAAAAATTGCTTGAGAATGACTACTTAGTCATCTTCATTTAAGTGTTAGAGCAATTTCACTTTTGCATGTTATTGGTGTGCAATGCAATTTATGTAAAACCTTGAGGTGAAATAAAGGAGATGTTAATTAAGTTAGAATCTAATGGCTGTTCAGTACTGTTGAAAAGTCAATTGCTTATGTAAGTACTAAGTGCCAAATGTAAATATCAGAGTACTTAAAACTTTCCCTTCATAAATAATTGCAGAGAAACTCTTCCAATAATACACTTCAAAAGCAATTTTGAATTATAACCCTTAATTTTAAATGTGCTAGCTTTCTGATGACTGGCTTTGCGGAAGTGGTAGTATCCTTGAGGTATTTTCCTAACAACAGTTTTAATTTTTTGACCTTCACTCAAGTAGGAATTTTATGTTTGGTATTCAGGAGTAGCTTTATTATTTCAGTTGCAGTCTCTCCCTCTGTTTTTCCTACATGGGTCATGTTTGTGGCTATTCAGGTGTAGTGGAAGAAACACTAATATTTTGCAAATATAATGGAATAATGAATGCATAAGCGTATTCTCATTAAATGTTACACTTAGGACTTGTTTCATGTTCTTGCAACTGTCTGCAGTAGTGGTGTTTCTCTTCTGAGAAGACGTTTTTTCTCATTGCAGCACAGCCGCTGTGATCAGCACTTTAAGTTAGATATAGTATTAGGAAAGAAATGAACACATTACTAATGTTATGAGCAGATGTGTCAGTCCTTATGAGCTAGTATCTTTTGCAGTTTCTTGTGTTTGTAAAGTAATTTGCAAAAGGCATTAAGATTCCAAATGCCCATGTGTTTGAATAGCTGCATGAGAAATGAAAACGTTTTCCCTGTTCTTGTCCTATTATAACAAGACAAAATAGATGCTTCTGAAATGAAGATAGTGGCTTCTCATAAGCTGACTTCCTGCACAGACTCCTCTTTTTGCTGCTCATTTTGCTAAGACAGCCTCAAAATGAATGCCTGTTTTTAATGAGAACTGCCAGGCACTTTCACACAAAGGTATGATAAGATACTAATACCTTATAATCTCAGTAATGCTGGCATTTGTTAACACATAATTTTAGCATTACTATAAGTAGCAGTTGGTTAAAACTTGTTTGTTTAAATCAATAGGTTTGATAATCATACGCTACTTAAAGTTGATTTGTCTTCCACTGGGAGGCCTTGAGATGATAAAGCATTAGCCCTCTCTTTGCATGTGCTCGATTGTCATACTTTATAATGGCTGTTGCATGTGCTCTATTGTCATACTTTATAATGGCTGTTGGGGAGCTAACTTCACAAGTGTCTTCTTGTTCCCTGTAGCCTGTAGGCTTACCTTTTGTTCTGGCTAGTGTGTATAGAAAGTAGTTAATAGAGAAGTTTTTATTAAATAATTTTAAAAGTACTTGTTAATTGTTAATATAGTGAGTGGTTATGAGGTTTTTTATCTTTGTTCTAAAACTGTAAAAATACATACATCAATAAAAACATACCTGGCAAAGGCAAGTTTCATATTATCAGAGTAAGCAACAGATGATTGTGAGGTTTTTAGTAGCTCTACAGGCCTTAAAGCAACAAGGCATAGCTGTTCTGTGAAGCTGCCCAGCGTGAAAATTCAATTTCTTCCTCTATGCCTTAGAAGAAATTACAAAGTTTATAAGAATGAAAATGGACTGTGTATTATTACACAAAGCATACTCTCCTCCTAAATGCTTTTCTACCATGTCTAATCAATTACTGAAGTCTGAATCTGAGGTCTTTCTACAAGGGGTACGGGGGAACTTCTTCCCGCACATGCACGTGTTCATATTCTGTCACTCCATTCTGGTAATATAACACTATGTTGTCTATAGGCATGGCTAAACCTGTGACTTTGGTTTACTCTAGGTAAGCATAAAAACGGTAATTTTGTCCTTCATATATATAATCCTCTCTTAAGTTGTATTTAAACCAAGTTCCTTCTGTAGGACCTCTTTCTGAATCTGCCTTTACTGGAAAACTTGTGGAGAGACTGTACTTTGTTTGTTAAGGAGCAAAGCAGGCTTAAGAGTAAAAAGTTCCATGGGTAATAGAAAAGATGCTGAGAGATGTGGAGAGGAGCTCAGCCATCTCTTAAAGGTGAGAGAAGGAAACATCATAGGAGCCAGAAATGCAAAGTTTACTGCAACTCAGTCCCTCGGCTATTCTGATGAACCCATTTCCAGTTGCTCATGTTGCTCACCTCTTTGCCACATTAAAACTGGTAAATTTCACAGCAATAACTAATGCAAACAGTTATTTTTTACTTTCATCTATATGCAAAATAATGTATTTTCTGCAGTACTTCCTTCCACCTCATAATGAGTACTTAACGTCTCTGAAATTACAACTGCACCTTGTTGTGAAGCTGGACATCAAAGCATTTTGAGTCTTGCAAGATGAAACTGGTTGTTATCTGCTCTTTAACAGTTCCTCCCTTCAATAAATCAGTTCCGTCTTTGTTCTCTTTTTGAGTATTTCCTTTTGCCGTCAAATTAAGCAGTCTTGCTTTTTAACCTTAATGGTAAAAATCACAGGGTTTTTTTGTATGGATTCTTCTCAGGTCCTAGTTTGACTGTCTCTTAAGGTACAACCTGTTACTCCTTCTTTTGTAAGTACCCCAGCAAGGTAAAGCTTCTCTTTGGATTTGAGGCATACTAGTGTTGCCACTCCAGACCAGATGTATAGCTTTATTCTGCTCTTCTGACAGCAGCATAAGGCTTCTGAAATTTATTCCCTCTCGTGTCCTTGATAAATAATAATTTAAAACTGTGAACTAGGAGATCAGCACTTAAAGTGATTAATTTCAGAGATAGTGACTTTCCTCATGATATCACTGCTCTACTTCTATCTACTTCCAAGAGAAAATGTCATTTTACTTGTACAGCACCTAGTTGAGTAATGGATAAATTTTTAAGGGGGCTAATAGTAAACAGCTGTAGTCCATTTAATAAAGTTCTTGAAATAAACAAGTGGGGGATATATTTAAAAAGCAGTCATTCCCTGGAAGTGTTCAAAACCCATGTAGATGAGGCCCCAACATAGTTTAGTGGTGGGCTTGGCAATCCTGGAGTAATGGTTGAACTTGATGATCTTAAAGGTCTTTTCCAATCTAGTTGATCCTGTTATTGTTTCCCGGGTTATGTACACTTCTTTACCAGTTCCTGATCTTTAACTATTCACATTTTGTTTTTTCTACCTGTACACTAATGCATTGAAGAATTATGGATCAAGATGTGACTGGATATTGCCTACAGTGACAAAGTACTTCCCTTGCTTTTAATGTTTCCTTGACTGAAAATCATTAAGAAACAGGGAGTTGAAGGGTGATTATTAGTGAATTCAGCAAGACTGTATTTCTGACAAAGTCACTGGCTCACTGGGTGAGTGATTGTCACCTAAATTACAGCTTCAAAACTATTTCAAACACCTAACTAGGCTCCTGTTCCTATTGGCTGGTAACTGGCAGCCTAAGAGTTGCTACTAAGCGATTCATCACACCTGTGCTCTGAGAGCCAGCAAAACCTTACAAGCAACAGGAAGTCAAGACACAAGTGAGGATGTGAATCTCTGCTACTTCCAGTATCTGAAGGGGGCCTGTAGGGATGCTGGGGATGGACTCTTCATTAGGGACTGTAGTGATAGGACAAGGGGTAATGGGTTCAAACTTCAACAGGGGAAGTTTAGATTGGATGTAAGGAGGAAATTCTTTCCTGTTAGGGTGGTGAGGCAGTGGAATGGGTTGCCCAAGGAGGTTGTGAATGCTCCATCCCTGGCAGTGTTCAAGGCCAGGTTGGACGAGGCCTTGGGTGATACGGTTTAGAGCGAGGTGTCCCTGCCCATGGCAGGGGTGTTGGAACTTGATGATCTTTAGGTCCTTTCCAACCCTAACTATTCTATGATTTCAGAGTATGCTTACATTGAATTTAGATTACAAGGCTCCTTGGATGTGACACACCTATCAAAGTGAATTTGTTCTCCATTAGTGTAGAAGAAAGTTTCTGGCTTCTGCTGAGCTTGGAACCCAGAGTTATAGCTTTCCAGAAGTGTGTCCAATGCTGTAGTAGTCTGAAGTATTGTCTCCTTTCACCCAGTCAAAAACTAACAGTGCAGACAAGAATGCAGGTTGTGTAAGAGAGGAAGACAGAATACATCACAGTGATTTTTCACTTTACTGTAGGTGAGGAGGGCTCTCATGGAAATAAGAGGGTTCTGGATTATACTGCTTAATTTTAATTTCTACAGCTATTTTATCTAATACTTTAAATGGAAAATGGTTTTAAATGGAAATCACTGGAGGCTGTCACTCATAGGAAGTTTTTTCTGCGCTGTAGAGTCACATTCCCTGTTCTTGTGTTTCATGTGTCTTCTATTGATTTGCCATTGGACTCTTACACAGAAAACAGATGTACATACAGACATAACGTTTTTGTATTTTAATGAGATAGAATCTACCATCAGTGTCTCTATTTGCTGGACAAGGAGACGTGCTGGTCCAGGAAACCTCATACTAGCCTTATGTGGAAAAAGACACTGCTCGACTTCAGATCGTGTTTGTGATTTATGGCCACTAGGATGTGAATGGTCCCTCTGCAGCATTTCGAATTTCTGTTGTACAAATTACATTGTGATTGGCGTCCAGGCTGTGGGAAAAATTGTCACTATCCTCTTCATTCTGAAATCCCACTCAGGACCGAGTGACTTCCAGGGCAACCTGGTAATACATGCATTTTAACTTAGGGTTAGTTGTTGCATTATTTGCCTTGGTGATGCTGGTATTTTGACAGAACTATCCCCTGGATATCTTCTGTTCTGTGTAGAAGTAAAATCCCTTAACTTAGCATTTATTCTGCCAAATGCAACAAGAAATCCTCTCTTGTTTTTTAAATATCCTCTCTATGGTAGATCACTGGGAGTTAAGGAGCCCTGATCTATTTGCGCTGCTTAAAGATACTGCAGAAAATTGTATTCCTTACTGTTTTGTTGTTGCTGTGAGTACATCCATGGTTTTGTTGAACTCCATTAGCCCTGCAGACCTGTTTCTGAAAGTTCTTGTAGTTATCTGTCTCTCATGGGCTGAATTTTTCCCAGAAAGGTGACAAGTGATATTTTGGAGATGCCAATTGGAACTGGCTACAGACACTTGAAACAAAAAGCAGCATTTGCTTGCTGGATAGTTACCATTCTCCTCCCTGTAAGTTCCCTGTGAATGTGAGGAGTTTGTATTTGTTTGCCTCCATTAATGGATTTTTGGTATTCTAAGATCTTGGAAATAGTGATGGAAATTTTTAGATGCAGTTCTGTAAATGATCCAGTAGAAAGAGCTCAAACTATTGAGTGCTAGTGGTGCGGCGTTTTTGCTTGGATTTTTTTTTTTTTAATGTGGATGCATTAATCAAGTTGTGTTCTAAAGAATAGACAGATTCAAAGTCTGTACTAGTGGGCTAGAACATAGTAGTTTAACTCTTAATGTTTTGTTGGAGTTGCAAAAAAACATAAATAGCAGAGGCCTCCAAATTCAGAGTGTAAGGAAAATAACAACGTGTTTGAATGTAGGATGTATTCAACAGCTGAGTCCTGGGTATTAGTGATAACTGAGTGCAACATTCTAATTCTTTTTAAGAGGGGCAGCATATCAGGTTAGACACATGAAATGCCAGGAAGAGGCAAAACTTTTAAATGACAAGATAGCTGACTGCCAGTACTTCTGTACAGGTGCATTGATCTTACCTGATGCTATGTTCCATACACTGGTAACTGCCTTATCATGAAGAAAATATTTAAGGTTGCAAACTTGACCACAAACTTTTAGACTGGATATAAGGAGGAAATTCTTTCCTGTTAGGGTGGTGAGGCACTGGAATAGGTTGCCCAGGGAGGTTGTGAATGCTCCATCCCTGGCAGTGTTCAAGGCCAGGCTGGACGAGGCCTTGGGTGATATGGTTTAGTGTGAGGTGTCCCTGCCAATGGCAGGGGGTTTGGAACTTGATGATCGTAGGGTCCTTTCCAACCCTAACTATTCTATGATTCTATGATTCTAAATGTGCCTCCTGGCATTGGTCAAGGAGACTGTCCTTTGGAAGATAAGAATGTTTTCAGAGGCAAGGCAGCAGTCACTAACTTCAAAAGTTGCCAGGCAACCTTTTTCTTTTTTCTTTTTTCTTTTTTCTTTTTACATTTAACTTAAAAGAGCAGGGATGTCTTTATTTCAGATTGGGTTTGCAGTTGGTCAGAGATGTCACAGCTTCATAAGAAAGGCAAGTCCAGCCTCTAGTGTATTTTCTGCTGTAGTATAATGGGAGCTTCAACCAGACAGTACAAGAATGTCCTCTCTTTGTTTCTTCAGTGTTCTGTTTTCTTTCTGATCTCCCACTCCTCCAGGATTATTTTACCCCAGAAAGTTTTGGCATCTGTTTGAGCAGATGATGGGCCAATTATTCGGGGGGGAGGGGGGCTGGTGGTGGTGGTTGTTTTTGTTTTTTTTTTCATTTTTCTATGACATCTTGGAAGAGTATATATGTGCATCTCTGCATTCTGGAACTAGTGTCCTCAGTAGTCTGTCAACTGCCTGCTATCAGTCCAGGCAGTAAGTCATGATTTCTCAAGTTAATTTCTCCTTGTGTCCTGGGTTCATTCTGCCCTCCCCCCTCTTCTCCTTTTAAACATTCACTTTTTGTCATTTGGTAGGACAGGTAAGTATTCAGCATTACAGCCATTTGTCTTACCTATAATTTCACCTTGAATAGTAGAGTCCTCACACAGTGACAGATAAGAATATAGATTTTTGGCTTACTAAAATGTTCACCAGAATTCTTATGGGACGAATCTTAATTTGTGAGTACTTCAGTAATACTCTGATTAGGACTCTCCTAAGCCAGACAGCTATTTTTGCCTGCTTCTAATTAAAAAGCTTTTGGATACTGCAAAAGAAAACTGATTGCCTGGCATGGAGTACGTTGGGGGACTTATTTTATTTGGTTGGTTGTTTTTTTCCCCAAGTAGTTTTCAGGGATTACTTTCATTCATTTAGATGCTTAGTAGAATAACTTCCCTACAAACTTGAACTGCCAGGTTTTAAGTTTGTGGCTGTGTGTGGACTGATCTAACTCATTTACAGCATGCATTGAAGAGAATTGGAGTGAACCTCCAGCAGTCATCCATTTAAAAAATAAATTAGCTAACATGAAGCAAATTGAAGATTTATTTTTTTTTTCAGGGAATAACTAAATGCTTTAAGGTTAGTTTTGTTTACCTTGGAATACCATTATGTGTTCTGTTGTCTTTATTAAACAAATTGTGGCACTTGACTTCACATGCCCTTTAAAATGGGACTAACAAGTAGGCATGTCACAGTGTTAACCAGTTTCTCTTTTAAACTCATGAAATTTTAAGTGACTTATGTGATTTCAACACCAATAAATACTGCAAAAAGGTAAGTAGAAAACACAAAGCAATAGAGAAAGTCTGTCTAGTGGGCACACAAGTTGCTATTTTAGTTTCTTACTACAAGTACACAAGTTAATAGTATTACAGCTGTTCTGAACAGAACTCTTTCACTTCAAGACCATCTGCTTTACTGGTGGAGCTTGGCTTTTTAGGTATCTCAACAATTCAAGTAAGGCATTCACTTCTTTTAGTCATTACAGAGGTGTTCAGTGAGAAATTTTTTTGCATTAGTTATCTGAAATTGTAGTTCAGAATATAGCTTCAGAAATAACACTCAATAAAACTGAATTCTTGTTGCTTTTTAGATTGCTCCACTCCTTGGGGAAGATCAGGTTACTTGATGTTGGTAGCTGCTTTAATCCATTTCTGAAGTTTGAAGAATTTCTGACAGTTGGTATCGATATTGTTCCAGCTGTTGAGGTATGTAACAGTTGCTGAGTTTATATTAAGTTTGATTCTCAGATATTTCAGAATTCTTCAAAATGACTGTAAAGCAAAGTATGTTTAATACGTAAGTATGCATCCTAAATATCTGTGCTTTTAATAGGAACTATGTCCCTCCTACTACATCCTTTCCTATGAATAGGGCGTAAACTGTAGTTGTGGTTTGGTTTAAAAATCTGGTTTTTGTTGCTTCTGTTTTTTGTTGTTTTTTTTTTTCCCAGGAGTTAATGCCTTTACAATGCAGTTGTGAATCTTAAAATTGGAACATTTTAGTAGCTGTCTTTTAATAGCATTTCACATATGTCTTTGCATCTTAAAAGGTGTAAATAAAAATTGAGTAGGCTTATGTTTAGGCATGAACCTCTGAAGAAGTTCCATTCACTGAAAGAAGGAAATGATCAGTAACTGTACTTGATGAGTTTTTCTGGGGAGCTTTAGTAACCAGTAATGCACTGTAACAGGGCTTTTCTGTTTGTTGCTGGAAATATTATTGAACTAGTGTAATCCTAAGGACAAATTTATTGTCACTTTTGGGGTAAATTCAGTTTCCCTAGGCAGTAATTCTGCTGTAATCTTATGTTCTTTCTTTTGCTCTTGACCCAAATTATGTGAGTCATAATCACAGAATCCCAGAATCCCAAGGGTTGGAAGGGACCTCAGAAGATCATCTATTCCAACCCCCCTACAAGAGCAGGGTAACCTAGAGTACATCACACAGGAACTTGTCCAGGCGGGCCTTGAATATCTCCAACGTAGGAGACTCCACAGCCCCCCTGGGCAATCTGTTCCAGTGCTCTGTCACTCTCACAGTAAAGAAGTTTTTCCTGATGTTCACATAGAACCTCCTATGCTCCAGTTTACACCCATTGCCCCTTGTCCTGTCACTGAACATCACTGAAAAAAACCTAGCTACATCATCCTGACACTCACCCTTTATATATTTGTAAACATTGATGAGGTCACCCCTCAGTCTCCTCTCCTCCAAGCTAAAGAGACCCAGCTCCCTCAGCCTCTCCTCATAAGGGAGATGTTCCACTCCCTTAATCATCTTTGTGGCTCTGCACTGGACTCTTTCAAGCAATTCCTTGTCCTTCTTGAACTGAGGGGCCCAGAACTGGACACAGTATTCCAGATGCGGCCTAACCAAGGCAGAGTAGAGGGGGAGGAGAACCTCTCTTGACCTATTAACCACACCCTTTCTAATGCATCCCAGGATGCCATTTGCCTTCTTGGCCACAAGGGCACATTGCTGGCTCATCGTCATCCTCCTATCCACCAGGACCCCCAGGTCCCTTTCCCCTTCACTGCTTTCCAGCAGGTCAGTCCCCAACCTGTACTGGTACATGGGGTTGTTCTTCCCCAGATGCAAGACTCTACACTTGCCCTTATTGAATTTCATCAAGTTTCTCCCTGCTCAACTCTCCAGCCTGTCCAGGTCTCACTGAATGGCAGCACAGCCTTCTGGTGTGTCAGCCACTCCTCCCAGTTTAGTATCATCAGCGAACTTGCTGAGGGTACACTCGGTTCCCTCATCCAGGTCATTGATGAAAATATTAAACAGCACTGGTCCCAGCACCGACCCCTGAGGCACTCCCCTAGTCACAGACCTCCAGCTAGATTCTGCCCCATTGACCATAACTCTCTGCCTTCTTCCTTTCAACCAGCTCTTGATCCACCTCACTACCTGATCATCAAGCCCACACTTCCTTAGCTTATCTATGAGGATACTGTGGGAGACTGTATCAAATGCCTTACTGAAATCAAGAAAAAACACATCTACTGCTCTACCATCATCCATCCATCTAGTTACTTCCTCATGGAAGGCTATAAGGTTGGTCAAACATGACTTCAAATAATAGTGTTTATCAACCAAGCAAAATGACAGTGTTATGAAAATGAGAACATAGAAATAAGTTTCTGACAGAAAAAAACTTGACCATTCAAACCTTCACCACTTACAGTTTAAAATCAGGCTCTATTAAAAACAGTGGCCTAAGTTGACCCTCTTCAGAGGTGGAGAGGTGAGAATTGTACAAATACAGTAATGAAGTTAACTAGAAAGTAGCATTCTCTTACTTGCTGCAACATTGTTTACATGCTAAATTTGTGGTATTTTGTTGTGGCTACCAGGTGTAGTCCACTAACACCTAATTTATCTTTTTGTGTATGTGCTTAGAGTTAATGGAAGATCTTGGAAAAAAAATGGCCTTTAAAGCAATTCAGTGTTTGTTTCACCTAAAACACAAAGAAACTTTGAGTGGTCTCCATCTTGCCTAATTTGAAGAATAGGCACCAGTTGCTCAAACACAATTTCACAAATACTTGAGAGACTGTAGGACACCTGCATCCGGGTTTTGGGCAAGACACAGGATGTAAAGGAGACAGATGCCACTGAAGTGGCAGCCTATGGCACCTAAAATGGTAATATGTGGCAAGTAAATTTACAGCTAAGATATACAGGGTGTCTGTATCTGGGGTTCTAAGTCCCAGCTGCAGTCAGTGAAGATCTATTAAAAATAGTTGGGGTGAAACCTAAACATCTGCTGTTTCATGGTGAGATGTGTTCTGACTGGCTGTATTGCCTAGCTCAGCAGTGACTATAATGGAGGCCTAGGCACCTGAAGTCACATGAGCTGAATCTAAGCATTAATTTTTGGGTATGCATAGTTAATACTTTGCTGTGTAGGCTATTGTGCTATTTTCGTAAGAAAATTACTTTTGTTTTCATGAAAATCAATTTAAATGTAGAGTAACCAAAACCATTATTGGAAGAGTCCCAGGAAGGTCACTTCTGTGGAGGAATGAGTAATCCAGGCCAGACAAAAGGAGAGGAAACTGAGACCAGGGTAAACTAACAGGTTTCTTCTTGACCTAGTGTTTTCGTTGGCTATTCCTTCTAACGTTCTGCTCATAACATAGATATCCCAGACTGCAATTAGCAGTGGTTATATTCATAGAGGAGTTTAATTTGTCTGCATTAAAAAAACCAAAACCAAACCCCACAGCAACAAACAATAATGCAAAAAGAAAAATTGGAATGAAGAGAGAATCTCCACTTTGGGAAAACACAAATAAAATTTCACACTCATGCAAAGCATGCGGTACTGGAATTAAAAGTTATAATATACAAGTAGGAATTGTGTTCTTAAATGTCAGTGGATGCACTGAAATGTGGCTGCTGTTTCAGTGTCCAGGAGGACTTTAACATCAGTTCAAGATTTGTATATGTAGAGTTAAGTAGCAGTCTCCCCTTTTGATGCATTTTTGTCCTAAAACTGTCTGCAGAGTCAAGGTTCTCCCTGAAGCGCACTTTAGTCCTGAATTTGTCTTTAATATGATTTCTACAGAACTGTTTTATTTTTCCACTACTCACAAATACTTGCAGTCTAAATTGGTTTTTTTAACTGTATATGTATAACCTTAAACTTTTGAAGTCTTGCTTCTAAGTGAAGTTAGCATGGTACTCCAAACAATTACTCTTCAAAGCACTTCCTTCTTCTAAAACTTAATAGAGGATATAATGAAATGACTACTGATAATTTCCTGTTCTAAGTATTATAAGCAAGCAATATATAGCCCTGCAGGTATAATGGCTGCAATTAAAATTTCTTTTATAGCCACATAATGCAAGTCTTTCTTGATTTTTTGCACATTGGAGGCCAAGATTAAAGCTGCTGAAAAATAAATCACAAATTCTTATATTTTTTTAAGCACTGACTTTTTCTAATTCATTGCATACTCTCAGAGAATGGGATTTCATATAAGCAGGAATAACATTCTCTTCTACTTGGAAACAATTGCGCTTATCAGTTGCTTTAGAAATGCCTTTACAGTGGTGTTCTAGAGAGATTTTTGAATATTTTTTCATAAAATATGCTATATTTTTGTGGTATGAAAATGCATATTTAAGTCCACCTTTCAGATGTGCTCAACAGAATGTTTTGTGTCTGCTTTCATGTTAACTTACCTGTTAAGTGTCTGTCATTCACTGCACATTATCTAGGCGTTAATAACAATTTTTGTTGCTATTGTGTCAAAACTTCACTATCTTAATACCATTTTTATGAACGAAGTCAGTACCAGGCTTTGATGAATATGAAGTGTCAAAACTTAAATGTAGTGAATAGCATACTATTACCTTGATTTTTTGAATGCTCTGTGATTGAAGATGTTAAGAACTCACTCTTCTGTATGTTGTATTGAGGTGTCATTTCCCATCTCTGGTAACTTCAGCACGAGTGATCAACAGATGAATTTATAGCCCTTGACTTTCTTTGATAATTGCCCAAATGTGTACTGCTACACTTTGCTTTTACAGTAAGGTTAAAACATGAATCTGTATTACTGCTGCCAAGCAGTTTGTGCACTCTGACTTTCTAATGTATATTGCCTTGCTGGAGCTTCTTTCTTTCTGTACCAGTAAAGAATAACACTTTTTTCCCAAGTGACCAAACTTGGGAAAACTAAGCTCCTTAGATTCTTTTCAGAGAATTGGTGGAAATACAGAGGTATCAGATTTAGTTTCTAAATACTAATTTCAGGTTTATAAAAACCTGTAAGAGGTTTCTATCATCTGGAGGAAAAAAAAAAAAAAGCAGTATAGGCTTATCTGACTTCTTAAAAAAATTGTTAGATAGTTGTTTCGATACTTTATTCTACTTGAGCTAAATTTCTATTTTATTATTTTAAGTAACTGCTCTCAATTAACAAATCTCTAGAAAATTACTGCACATATGAAATTTTGCTTTGCAACTGTGAAAGCTAGCATTGTATGTTAAATTGATATTTTAGATTGTTGCATTTTAACAGTGGGAGGAGTGTTCAACAGGCTTATTATTTCCTCAAGAGAATTGAGAGGTTCTCATTGATTTTTCTGAAAATCTCTATTGTATTTGCTCTTTAAATTAACCTTTATATTTGTTTTTTTTTCTTATTTCATCAGAGTGTATACAAATGTGACTTCTTAAATCTTCAAATTCAGCAACCACTCCAACTGGCACAAGATGCTATAGATGCCTTTCTTAAGCAACTGAAAAACCCTATTGATTCTCTACCTGGAGAATTATTCCATGTTGTTGTTTTCTCACTCCTCCTTTCTTACTTTCCGTCACCCTATCAACGATGGATATGCTGCAAGAAGGCACATGAACTTCTCGTATTAAATGGCTTACTGCTTGTAATAACTCCTGATTCATCTCATCAGAATCGCCGGGCTATGATGATGAAAAGCTGGAAAATTGCCATAGAGTCCTTGGGTTTTAAACGCTTCAAGTATTCCAAGTTTTCTCACATGCACCTGATGGCATTTAGGAAGACTTCCCTGCAAACAACAAGTGACTTAGTTAGCAGGAACTACCCAGGAATGTTGTATATTCCACAGGATTTCAACAGTATAGAGGAGGAGGAGTATTCCAACACTTCCTGCTATGTTCGATCAGATACAGAAGATGAACAACTAGCTTACGGTTTTATGGAGCTACCTGATGCTCCTTATGACTCAGACTCTGGAGAAAGCCAGTCGAGTTCAATTCCTTTCTATGAGCTAGAAGATCCTATATTGCTTCTAAGTTAATGTAGTTGTTGAAAGGCCCTTTCAGTCAAACTCTTGCTTAACTGATTTTGCTATACTAACATGGGCTCAACACACAAAAATGGTTTGCATAAAGAATGCAAAGGTTTACAGAGTTTGCTATTTTTTTCTACTTTTGAATTTTAAAATTTATTCTTGTATGAAAGTGAAAAAAATACAAGTTTTATGCACATGACTCATGTCATAGCATAAATTGCTGTTACTTTCTTTAGATTTGTATCACTAATTCTTTTCCAGAAAGGTACCATTCTTTTCTTTAGTGCTGTGAAGTGTGAATTCTATTTAATTTGTTAAACGTTGTTTCAATATTTTAACCCAATGTGGTTGAGCTTAAGGTGCTGGAGTTGGTGGGCTTCTGAGAAGTATTATGTAGGAAGAAATAATTAGCACTTTAACTAAATGTGCAGATAGGTTAAGACACTTGGTTACACATATCCCTTTGTAATTATGGAGCAAAACTTTTTCCCAAAATTTGTTTCACTCTGGGTAAGCCAGAGATGGAGAAACTATAACGCTTGCACATTTAATTTTCTTTATTGCAGTCCTGGAGGTAAAGCCAAATGGAGATAATACCCAATACTGGAATATATTAATCCATAGTTATACATACAGTGTAATTTAGTTGCATAAATAGCAGTTAGAGATGAGATTTTTGTAGAGGTTATCCCCCCCCAGAGGAGTATGGTACATCTAGACAATTATGTTTCACTTGAAAACTGGAACATGGTTTTGCAGTTTTGTGAGTGTACAAGCACAGACATATATCAGTATTTTTCTCCACTTTTCTTCAAACTGTTTTTTGGGGGGACAGAGTGGGTTTGTCATGTTTTAAAGTAAATTATTTATGCATTTTAAGAACAAGCAACTCTTTCTTTAGCTGTCTTTATTTGTAGACCTCCCACGTTATACAGTAACTACAGACCAATTTTGTAAAAAGGAACATAAAATTATGCAGTTTTTCAAGGATACACGTTTGCACAAAGTTGTATATCCAGACCACACAAGTGAGGTTAACATAATTTGTTTGCTTATTTGGACCCCAAAATCTTCTGGATAGCTAAATAGAAACTCCGTAGCTGTCTGAAAACTGGTCCTTGCTATAAGGAGATGGAACAGAAGTGGTTTACATCTATTAAGTTTTTTAACTTGAGTAATAAGTCTGTGAGTTTTTGCAGGAAAAAAACAATTATATTCAGTGGTAAAACCAGGGGATTCAGTATTAGCTTAGCTTAGCTTTCCCTCCATCTAAAAATAATGGCCAGGATTTTCAGGTTTGGATGTTAGGCTGTTAAATCTATATGTAAGTGCCTAATAATAAATGATTTGAACTAGGTGCCACATCAGGGTTTTAGACAGGCTTCTGCAAAATGGTAGAAAATACTAATACAGACTTTCAAAGGTGGTTGTGGTGAAGTGCACCTTACACTGTATTAACCTACCATGTTGTACTTATCACAGAGAGGTTACCCGATAAACTGAAGTGGTAGTGTGGAATTTACAGTGGTTGCTACATAAATGAAACTTACTCCTTCCATTGAAGTTTTGCACTGAAAGTGTCATGGTTTGACCTACCTGTTTGTTGTTTTTTTTTCTTTTATACTGCTTCCTACATAGAGTCATCCCCATTGGTCCAGTTTACACTTGAAATGTGATCTGGACTGTAATGCTTTATTCTTTAACATATGCTTTTTGTGTTTCTCTCCTTAAATTTAAGGCATTCCCTAATACCTGATTCAGATTTGTTACTCAATCTGAATAATATCCTTATATACAAACCAAACAATTCTGGTGTATTAAAAAAAGTTTTGACATTCAAGTATTATGGCTGACCTTTTTTGGTTATTTTTTACAGAGAATACTTCACTAATGAAATCGACAAGGGCTTCAAAATTGGCTCTAAGTCAGTATTTGCATCCAATGCTTTACCACTTCACTTGTCGTTCAAAGCCTTTCCTCTTCCCAGTTAACCACTGACTCCAGCAGTGCTCCTGTTAAAGCTCAAATGCTGGTGCTATAAATTCAGCTGTTTATGGAAACTTAATCTGTGCATACTTCAAAGTGTACCTAACGTTTTAACTGATACTCCTTTTAAAACAAGTTCTCTACCAAATAACATATACGTTGGCGTTGATTAAATTTTGTGATTCATACAGAAAAGTATTTCAGACCAAGATCTATCCCCTCCAAACAGTTCAAAATATTAACATTTAAAATCTAAGCCTTTTTGACAGGTTGGTGACACCATAGTATTTGTGGTTTAGGGACCTGAAGCTCAAAACAGCTTGGTTTTATTGCTGCTCATTCTAAATACCTGAAGGGGAGGTTGGGGGTGTGTGTCTTTAGTTTGGTATTTTTGTTTTTGTTTTGTTTTTTACCTTTTTTTACCTTTTTTTTTTTTCGGGGGGGAGGGGGTAGGTAGAAAATGGGATTTACATAAATCTTCTATCTCCCTGAACAATAAAGTGGTGATGTCAGGAGTTGTTGGATATTTGGCTTTGGTGCAAGAAAAATGTTTCTAGATTATGAAGTATTTGAAAATTATGACTGTGCAAGAGATCTCTTGTTCTTAAGGTGCCAGAGAGGAAAAGGAACATGTGTATTTGCATTTCTGTTGTCTTTATGTCACTACCTTTTGTGAACAAAGCACATTTATTAAAAAATACAAAAACTGAATCCTTTTAAAGACTGTTTTTTTGGGGTGGAGATGTCTCTTTTCTTCCCTGTGCAGTTGGCTTATGCAGAAATCCAGTGAAAACAATGCATAGTTTTCCTTATTGTCAAGAAAATAGTTGTGTTTGGGTTAATTTTATAAACTGAATTATAGTAAAGATGTTAAATCGGGTACTTCAGTTTCAGCTTCCACATCTCGGTTGTGGCCTTTGCTTTACAGAAGGCTTTCTGGAGTTCCTCCAGTTGTACCTGTACCATGTTTCTTTGCCTGCCCACTTGCAATGCAACCACTTTTTTAACACAGTTCCTCCCTTCTCTGTCTACATGTTCTTAATTTCTGTCTCCCCGGAATACCTTTGCAGCAGAGTGGTTGTGTTTGTTGTTAACCCATGGAACTTTAGGCCTGTTGGGAGGTTTTATTGAGTTTTGATGAGGGAAAAGGATTTTGGAGACAGCTCAGTTCTGTTGAATCAGTTGTCTGAATAATAAAGACAGCCTATTGAAGCTCAGCTCCTTGGATATCCAGCTGCCAGCAGTCAGCACCAGTGCTTCTTGACTGTGGGCTGGAAAGGGGATGGTTGGGATGAAGGGATTACAGGAACAAAGGCCATAAATGTGTAACAGGCCAGCCCTCTTGGAAGTTCAAAGAATCCCTGTGCAGCTGCTGTCTAAACTTCATTCGAACTCCAGCTGCCCTTGTTTTGCCTGCGTAGGCAATGGACCTGTGCTCATCCAGGAACTTCCTGCTCTTGCCCACTTAACCTGTAAGGGCCAACTCAGACCATGTCTTCATACCACAGTGTTGTGAAAATAGTGATGGTTAAGGAAGTGTGCCTGCTGTATAAATGTGAGGGTGGTGAAAGCCTTTGTTTTGGAAGCACACAGGTCAGTACAGGATCAGGGTCCTGCTAGCCAAGGATCACAGAACGGTTCTTGGTTGGAAGGGACCTTAAAGCTCACCTAGTTCCATAGGCAGGGATACCGTTAACGCAATCAGGTTGCTCAAAGCCCTGTCCAGCCTGGCCTTGAATACTGCCAGGGATGGGGCAGCCACAGCTTCTCCGGGTAACCTGTTCCAGGCTAACGTGGGTTCAGTCTGCCTTGCAGTCCTAACTCAAACGCATTTCTCCCTCTTTCTTGTCCTAAGTACCAGCGGACAGTACTTACAGTTTTGAGGATTTTTTTCTTCCTGCCTACCAACCTTTCCGTGGTTTGTGCAGTGTGCTTTCACTGCTGCGCGTCAGCTGCATGCTGCTGAATTAATTCCCCAGAGCGTGACAGCTATTGGGCTGGAGCTCCCGATGGAACGCTGTTACAGCCGGGCGCTGGCCCGTTCCCCCTGCCGCCTCGTCTCCCGGCCCGGCGAGTGAGACTCCGGCAGCGCCCGGGCGGCGGCGTTTGAGCCTCGGCGGGGCCCGTACCCGGGCCGCTCGCTCAGCCTCAACATGGCGACGGCGCTGCGCGGGGGGAGGGAAGTTTGCGGGACGCCTGTTGAGGTGAGTGCAGGCCGGACCAGCCCGCCTCCCGCAGCTGGGGGCCACGGCCTGGTCCTCGGCACCGTCAGGCTGGGGCCGGGTCTGCCCTGCGTGGAGCAGGGCCCTGTCACCGCGGTGTGGCGAGGGGAGCCGGGCGGCCTGGCGGACACCGCGGGGGAAGGCGGGCGGCTGTACAGAGCGGGGTCCATGGCGGTGCGCGGCGTTGGTCTGGCAGAGTCGCGGCTGGCAGCGATATGGAGCTTACCGGGAGGGTTAGACCAGCAGCTGGTGCTTGGGAAGCGGTCCCTCTATGTCTGACACCGGTAACCCGGAACGTGGGCCCGGCATCAGCATCTGGGAACTACTGGGGTCGGTCACTGAGGTTTAAGCGTGCGGTATTAATTAGCTAAACAAAAGTTTTTGTTAACAAAACAAACAAAAAAATACACAAAACCAAAAACCCCACGTGTTAAACTGGAAGGAAAAAGCTGGAGGAAAGTTAATCCAGTAATTTGGATAGAGCTCACCTGGACTTGAAATCAGCTGCACTTAAACTACCAAACCAAACTACCTTTGAGTTTTGGTTCTTTTCTTCTATGTTCTTAGATAAATTAGGTTGAAAACTACTTTGGGAATGGCAGTCTTTTATGTATAGGAACACCCTGGGATAGTTCAGTCTTTAAATCTCTACTTAGACTCTCAGTTTTGCTTAAAATTCTGTTTGCAGTAGCTGACACATTTAAAAATGGACATATGGATTCCGTTTGGATCTGAAAGTAGTTAGCTCAGATGTGCAACTAGGCTGTTGCAATCTAAAAACTGAAAGGCCATTAGTTTGAAAACCAAGCAAACACAACACCCTCCCTCCCCCCTGACTTTTAACAGTCTAAATTGTCAGTCTTAACAGATAGTTGTGTTTTAAAGAAGAAATCAGATATTGGAACTTCCT